AAATGACCCATCAAAGGATTTCACACAAGATGGTAAACCCAATGTTTGTGGAATAATTTTTTCTTACAAATGGTGGTGCATATGGTCCTTTGACTTGAGATCAACAGAGTACCGTGTGTAAATATCAATGTGATTTGACACCAACCTAATGTCGTCTTCTTAGGGATTACCAGAACGGTCGTGATTGATTACATCGAGAAGTACACTATGGCTATGGTGGATCAACAAATGATTCATCACTCCTGGTTACAGGAGATCTTATCTCGGCAAGATATTTGGTTAAGAACTACAACCTCAAATTGTTAGAGTATATGACCTAGAGCCAATCAATTATTGTAGAATTAACTCTTTGTAATAATGTTCATTGATCAATAAAAGGCATTTTATTCTATATCGCATAAATCATCATTGTATATATTGATATATGTCCTTAGAATGGTAGAACCGTGACGAGGGTGTCAAGTGTTTCAAATATTGATAGTGAGAACCCTATGAGCACATAAGATGGTCATTCTAGAAACGTTTATAGCCCTAGTATTATTCTGAAGTAAGGGCACAGCTAATACGGTAAGGTTATCATAATGTTAAACGACCCTATCGAAAGGCAATGACTGATCTCACTTGTCAAGGTTGTTTGGTGACAACCTGGTGCAACACATGGGTGCTTGCTATAGGCAAGTTCACTTGACTGATCCACCAGAGGATTTCATATGGATGGTAACCCCAGTGTCTATGGGACAAATCTTCTAACGAATGGTGGTGCATGTGATCCTTAGACTTGAGATCACCGAAGCGCCTTGTGCATCGATTGGTGTAGTTTGACATAAGCCCAACGCAGTTCTATTCAGAGCTGTCAATACGGTAATGATTGGCTGCATCAAGGAGTGTATCAAGACTATGGTAGATAGACTGAGGATTCATCACTCCCGGGTACGGGGGGAGTTATCTCACAGCGCAATTCAGTAAATGGCAATGACACTAAAACTGTGGCCACATTGGGATTGAGTTGTTGCTCTGTCTAGTTTATAATTCAGGTCATTGGTCTAGTAACTGAATACATAATATCAAGAGTAACTGAGGTTGACACTATTTCTATGTCTCGATCTCGTCGAGATAACGTATGATGAAAAGATTGGATTGTACAGTAACCATATCGTTGACAGGTAGTTGCTTAGCTGAATCTGAATCTATCGGGTGGCCATGATGCCTTGCTAGGGGCCAATCTTGGTCTGTGTGTAGTGAGACAATTAATTAGTGTTAATCACGATACTACACACTGCCGGTATCATAAGGAGCCTATGGGTCACACACATAGAAGATAATTTAAGAACCTGTTTAAAAGAATGGCGTTTTTGTCATTTTAGGCGAAAAGGGTATTTGGGTAATTTCACAATGTAATTAAATTTGTTGAGGTCGTAGCATTTATTTAATTTGTTAATAAAATTAAATAAGTGAAATTATATTTAAATTTGTGTTCGCATATATATTTAAATGAATTATTGTTATTGTTAAATGTTAATATATGAAATATATATTAATTGAGTTTAATTGAAATAACAATAATGATAAATTATCTAATTGGGGCTGTTTGGATATAGGGGCTATTTGGGTTGGTGCCCAAGCCTATTCCATGATGGAATAGGGCAAAGTGTGCACTATATAAATGCAACACTTTATGAGAAATAATAATTTAATTCATTCAATCATTTCAAGAGAAATTCCAGCCCCCTTTTTCTTCTCTTCCACGCCACTTCATCTTTGATTGAATCAAAGTTTCATTTGATTTTTGTTCTTGGTTCTTAAGGCTAAAGAGGATCTAGCAAATCCCTCTTTAGTTCGTTGGGGATTATCTTCATCTGGACTACCGCTGGTTCGATCCTATTCTTGGATCAGTAGCGAAACTCATTCCAAGACAAGTTGGAGGAGCCTCCAAACGTGGGTATGGTTTCTTAACCTTGAGCTGATTTTTCTGCATATTCTAATATGTTATATAAACTATAAATTTGTGCCCTGATCTTAGTTCAAAGGAACAATCTATGATGTTTATGTTTTCGTTTCCGCTGCCATAACTTGATCGTTTCCTAACACAAATCCGTGGCCATGGTGGAATCGAGTTGGTGCTAGAATCCAATTTTATAGTTGTAAGATTCAAGAACCAAATATAGAACATGTCAAGGTAGCATTTTGAGGTAGACACTATTTATGTACCTCAAACCTTGGTGAGATATAAGATGAATGGATCGAATTGTATGGTAATCATACTGTAGAAACGGTAAGCCTAAATCTCTAATCCTTTACTTACCAGGGAATCATGATGCCTTGCTAGAGGCCAATCTTGATTGGTGTACCAAAACACTAATTGTTTGTTGCTTAACTAGTTATCGGGACATTGCCGGCAAAGTAAAGAGCCTTCAAGTCACACACATAGAAGATAGTTAAGTGAGAAACAGAAATGGAATGACAATCTTGTCCTTGGGCCAAAAAGGGTACTTCGGTAATTTGGGAGTCCATAGGCATTTTCGTCATTATGGGCGAAAAGGGAACTTTGGTAATTTTGCTAAGGGGTTGACACCATTATCCAATTTATTGGGAGAATTTTTAGCAAAATTGGAATCACATTAATTTTAATTAATATGGAGAATATATATTAAATATGATAAATATATATGGATTAAATAAATAGGAATATTTATTTAATTAGGATTCATATTTAAAGGGAATATCTTTAAGAGATATTCTAATCCCTTATATCAAGGATTACAATCCAATTCAAATAGAAATTAAAGTCCAATCCAAATAGAAATCAAGGATTTACAATCCTTATTGGATTCTTATTTGGGATTGCCTATATCGTTGGGTTTTGATTTAAAAGAGCAATTCTCATAAGTTTATTTTGCAAAATTAAAAGCAAAATAACTCTCCCAAAATAAACCCTAGCCGCCAACCCTTAGAGAGAGAAATCCTCTCTCTAATTTCTGCCACATCTCCTAACCCTTTGATTGGTCTAACAATCAATCTTAGGGTGATCCCCAAGCCTACTTTCGTGTGGATATCGTCAAGCTCGATCATATGTTGGGTCAATAGCGAGATCGAGAGAATGAGCCACCAACGAAGGTATAAAATCACTAACCTTGCATGGTTTACTCATATAAATATATTGTGGATTAATTTATCGAGTCGTGATCTTGGGTCAAGGACTATGTCATAGAAATTCTTTTTTTTTTTTTTTTTTGCAATTTCACGCTCACTATAGTAGAAATCCAACTTCAAATTAACGTCAGATTTTCCCAACTTTTAAAATTAGAACTGTCATCCATGCCGATAATCTGAAAACATTTCAACTATCTACTTGTTTTGCAAGAAAAATTAAAACTTTCGTCGAGAAGTCAACAATTTGTTTTACACATTCGAAGCTCCATTCTTCTTTTATTTTTTCTTCCCCACAAAATTTTCAGTTTATGTTGGTTTCTCGAGAAACTAAACTGTTGATTAGAAAAAAGTTTGCTTCATTCTTTTTCTCCTTATTTAATTTTTTTTTTTTTTCTTGACAAAATTTTCAATTTAAGTTGCTTTCCGGAAACTGATATTTTCCGGGTTGGTCTTCTAAAAGTAAAAGTTAAATGGTTAGAAACAATGTGAAGCGATAACCCTTTAGTTAAAAGCTGAAGTGAAGACTGTTTTTAGCGGAAACAAGCTGTTTAGTTGTCTGCAGACAAGCTGGAGTGGGGGGATTTTAGCACGTTGGAGGCTTTAAGTTCTTGTTTGCAGGTTGTTGCATTTGTCACATTCTTCAATAGTCGATCGGTTGTTCCCACATTGGAGGCATAAGCTGAATGTGAGAACTCATTGTTTGCTAATATATCTTTTGTTTTAGTAGTTCCAGTGCCGTCAGATTGATATGTGATGATCTTATTATGCTTTTTCATATGTGTGTATTTGGAGATCTTTTTTAATTATATTTTTTATTGGCTAGAATTAGATCTTTAGTTCGCCTACTTTCATTCTTGTGGTGAGTTGTTTTACCATCATAATGCATAGAAAATAAAATAAAGAGAAACACTTCCGGAGTTGGTTTATTTTGAACCCTAAAAGACGAGCAACCAGGCAAAATTTTGTTTCTAATATCCATGCGTTGTTTAAGTAAGAAAAACTGAACGACGAGTGGGGGTTTTGGTTCTAATTGTTTTTCTTGTCAATTTGCCTCCGCGAGTGACCCTGTAGGAATTTTGAACTGGTAACAAATTTTCCCCAATGAGATTACGTGCATTTTTTCCCTCTGGGACGAACATGCAATTGATATTTCCATTATTAGTATGAAATGGGACACGATATGGACTTCAGTTTTCACCTTATATCCGTAATTCTCTTCATTAAACTTGGTAGAAACTGTGAAGAAACAAACAAGGATAGTGAAAACAATTCTGAGGCACTTTGGATTGACGTTTCAGCTTTGAATATTCTAAAAAATTTAGAAAATCTCGCTGAACAAGGCAATTTTCCAAAACGTAAACCAGGAAGAATTTCGAGAACTCAAAGATGTGCAATTGCTTATCTTGGTCCTATAGTAGCTCCGCCACTACTTATGCCTCGACTAGGAGATTACATATTGCTAACACTGCTAATACGTACATTTGAGCAAAATCTAATATTACATTCTAATAATAATGTTCCACATGCAAGACCACCACTTTGTTCGTTTTGCCAAAATACGAATAATGCATAGGCGTTACGTCATTAACTGGCATTAATTAACAACATCCCTTAGTCAAACATATATGAAACATATAAAAGAAACTAATAACTGAAAAATAGATACAACGTATTACGTTACAACATTCTTCAAACAGAGGACAAAATTGGCGAATGACTTGTTATAAATTTGCGGCATTAGCTTTCTTCAATGCATTATAAATATGGTCTTGTAGAACTAGGATTTCATGATTACTCATCGAAAAAGACTATAGCGAGAAAGTAACAACACTAAAAGCGGAAGGGAAAACATGGTGAAATCGATTGGCATAGCGAAAGTTACGTTTTTATTGGTATTGTTTGTATCAACAGGTAGAGCTCAGTCAATTTTCGACGTGACAAAAGATGGCGCCAAGGCCAATGGACCAGATATCAATGCAGTAATACTCCAACGCAGTAAAAAAATACGTATGCATGAGGATTTCTATTTCGTTAATCTCCAAATTGATCTCCTTTATAACGTAACGTTTCTTGTCTCAGGCTTTAACAAGTACATGGAAAAAAGCATGTGCATCCGCTACGCCAAGCAAAGTTTTGATTCCAAAAGGGATATTCTCATTAAGTCCGGTGACCTTAGAAGGTCCTTGCAAGGCTACTATTGAGGTTCAAGTTCAAGGCACCCTCAAGGCCCTGTCGGGCGCTGGCGAAACGACAGAGGATGGCGGTTGGGTTACTTTCCAACGCATTCAAGGCTTCACATTGTCGGGTGGTGGAATTTTTGACGGCCAAGGAGCCTCGTCTTGGGGAGCCTGTGGCAATGATTATTGCAAGCAGCTTCCCATTGTAAGTTTATTATCTAGTCCCACATATCTTGCTAAACTAACTAAAGAGTATGTTATACGTATGGCACTGACAACACTTGTTTCAATCCTGTGCACAGAATATGAGGTTCGACTTCATTACAAACGGGTTGGTCCAAGATGTGACTTCCTTAAACAGCAAGCAATTTCATGTTAACGTCCTAGGTTGCAAGAACGTCGCTTTCCGTCGCTTTACCATCACCGCGCCTGCAGATAGCAAAAACACCGATGGCATCCACATCGGAAGATCTAGTGGAATTGAAATTACAGATTCAAAAATTGCAACGGGTGACGATTGCATTTCCATCGGTGGTGGAGCCCAGAATGTGTCAATTACCAAAGTTACATGCGGACCTGGTCATGGCATCAGCGTCGGAAGTCTAGGACAGTATGAGAGAGAAGAACCTGTAGTCGGAATCACTGTCAAGGGTTGTACTCTCACTAATACCGACAATGGTATGAGAATCAAAACTTGGCCAGCTTCCTATGCAGGCTCTGCATCCAACATGCACTTCGAGGACCTTACTATGGTTAATGTCAGCAATCCTATCATCATTGATCAAGCCTACTGCCCACACAATGACTGCAATGCAAAGGTATAAAAAAGAAAAGAAAAAAAATCAAATTTCTTTGTTTCTTTCTTTTGTGTTTATCAAGTCTCATGACATTGACCGTATCAGTTCCATAATGCTTTATTCTATTTTCTTCAGCATCCATCGCGCGTGAAGATCAACAACGTTAGCTTCAAGAACATTCGAGGCACTTCTGCAACTCCAGTTGCTGTAAAGCTTGCTTGTAGTAGTGGTGTACCATGCGACGGTGTGGAGCTTGCAAATATCGACCTTAAATACATTGGAAAGGAAGGACCTATCTCATCCGAATGTAGTAATGTTAAACCTAAGGTGATCGGCGTACAAAGCGCGCTAGCATGTGGCAGCCCCACTGCGGCCCCTTCTCGCAAAGCTTAATTTAATTGCAAATATATGTGTAGAGCATACATAGCCACTCTTAAACCTTCTCATGTCGATATATGCATGAATCGGTCTGTTATAAATCTATATTATTTCATTTGTGGAATTAGAATTGTTCTACTTGCTACTTTAAACGACCGTTGTGCGAGTTTCAATGTGCAATTAAGTTCAACTAAAAATTTTCTTGTTAGTTGAACCTTCCAACGACTTTTTTTTGTTTTTTTTGTTAGCCTTTTAACTCTAAACTTATTGTTAACTAACCTGTGAACACATATTACATCTAATACTGAATGGAGAAACCTATAGCCCTTGTCAGAGAAACCAAACTCCTATTTAAGTGAAGGAAAAAAGAGAGAGAGGGAGAGAGAAATCCAACTTCAAATTAACGTTTTCGAGACCGTTGACAAATCAGATTTTCCCTACAACTTTTAAAATTAGAACTCTCATCCATACCGATAATCTGAAAACATTTCAACTATCTGCTTGTTTTGCAAGAAATATTAGAACTTTCGTCGAGAAGTCAACAATTTGTTTAACACATTTGAAGCTCCATTCTTCTTTTATTTTTTCTTCCCCACAAAATTTTCAGTTTACGTTGGTTTCTCGAGAAACTTAACTGTTGATTAGAAAAAAGCTTGCCTCATTCTTTTTTTCCTTATTTAATTTTTTTTTTTTTTTTCTTGACAAAATTTTCAATTTAAGTTGCTTTCCGGAAACTGATATTTTCCGGGTTGGTCTTCTAAAAGTAAAAGTGAAATGGTCTGAAACAACGTGAAGCGAGAACCCTTTAGTTAAAAGCTGAAGTGAAGACTGTTTTTAGCGGAAACAAGCTGTTTAGTTGTCTGCAGACAAGCTGGAGTGGGGATTTTAGCACGTTGGAGGCTTTAAGTTCTTGTTTGCAGGTTGTTGCATTTGTCACATTCTTCAATAGTCGATCGGTTGTTCCCACATTGGAGGCATAAGCTGAATGTGAGAATTCATTGTTTACTAATATATCGTTTGTTTTAGTAGTCCTTCTGTTTTCTCTTCCCTCAAGATTATGTCGTGGCATAACTTCTTAAAAAATTGAATCTTTCTAATGTCCAGTAACTAGCTAAAACATGTTTGTCTGAGCATGTCTAACTAGGTGAGGATTAACATCGTCTTCACATTGTCGAAAACTTCCAGTTTGCGTAATTTGTAACTAACGCCTGATAATGGTGCTCATCAGCAAGTGTGACTAAATCGTGTTTGACTATCACCATGGTAATTTTGCATGATAAAATTGTAGAAATTTAGTCATATGCTATTAAAATGGTAATTAAAATCGTGATTGACTCTTTGCAAGTGTCTTTGTACATCTAGCATTTCTCTTTTGGAAAATGAGGTTAGAGTATTTCATGAGATTTTTTGGAAAATCGTGTTTTATTATTTTGGATATGATTTTTTATATTTTTAGAGTTTGGTGAGAATAACGAGGTAGAATTTAAAAACTAACAAAAACACCCCGCTAGGTTTGCTAATTTACTAAATACCCCAATATACAAAAATTTTGTAAAATAACAAAAGCACCCCCACCCACAGTTGCCAGATTCCGGCCACCACCATCGGAATCTGGGGTTACGGCACACAACTAGTTAGATCTGGTCGTTTGAGTGCCGATATAACCTTTTCTGACCAGATCTACGGTCATTTCTGACCGTCAACGACCAAAGATATGGCCGTCGTTGACGACCAGCTACGACCAAAGATCTAGCTGTCAACGGCCAAATCTTTGGTCGTGGATCTGGCCTTTTCCGGCCAAATCCGCGATGGATTTGGCCGAAAAATGATAGATCGGCACACTACCAACCAGATCCAACTGGTAGTGTGCCATTACACCAGATTCCGACCACCTTCCAGCAGTGGTGGCCGGAATCTGACAAATGTGGGTGGGTGGGAGTGTTTTTATTAATTTTTAAACCTTTTTCTAAAGGTGTTTAGTTAAATTAATCAACTTAAAAGATTTAAAATATAGTTGAAGAAAATATAATAGTATTTTGAGGATAATGAAACAAACAGTTATTTTGATGATAGGATTGGGAATAGGATATGAAATATTAAAACAAACGGACCCAAAATTTTTTATTAAAACCTAAAGTCCACGATCCTCATAACGAATTAAATGTTATTTACATGAAAATATAATAAACCATTCAAGGTTTTGATTTCATACCAAACATTGGTGGCTCTTTCGATTGATTGTAGAAAAACGCTACCGCTTCAAGAATAAAAGTGAACAAACGGTAATCCATACAATACAAACAAGGGCGTAGCTAGAAACTCATTCTAAGAGGGTTAAGACGTTAATTAAACTTAATAATACAATTGTAAATAAACTTATAATAAATAATATATTGGGTATAAGTTATATAAAAATATGAGTATTTATTTATAATGCTCTTTGTAATTAATATATTTATGATTATGTTTGACGATATGAAATAAATTTATAATACTTTAACAAGTGTAAAACAAAACTAAGAAAAATTACTAACGAACAAGTTATTAAATCAACACAAATAACAACACCTCCATATTAAACTATAATAAAATTTCTACTAATAAAATATTCAAAGATTTATCTAGCTTTTATAGTAAAATATTATTTGTAATTTCACTTTTATGTTTTGACCCCTTAAAATAATGCATCAAAATACATATTTTTTATATTTATCTTTTTTTTTTCTAACTTCAATATTTTGATATAACTCATCTATAGGTGGTCTAGATGCGTATAACGAATTGGGAATAGTGTGAATAGGCACACGGTCTCAAGTTCGATTCTCCATCTGAACATCTGCAATTTAAGTGGAGGGTCATGACAAGCTAACCCTTATATATATATATGTTTGAATTTTGATAATTTTTCAAAGTCAAGAATGGTCAATTGACCCTCCTTGACCCCCTCTCCCTCCGTCGCTGCATACAAAAACAAGAATGCACACAAGATCAATTTGGTAGAATGAAGATGGTGGTTCAAAGAAGAGAAGGGATGAAAATTTCAAAGAGAAATTTTGCTCTTTCACTTTAGCTTGGGCGTTAAAACTAAAAGATTAGGGTAAAATTATTTTAGTTGCCTTTTTTTATAGGGCAGCGAAAACCCTAATATGCTTTGAAATATTCTTAAAACATTCCTAGTAATATTTAATATAAATTCCTTAGTATTTAAATATTTATTGTTCCCCAAGTAAGAGTTGGCATTTCATTATTATTAATAATTATTATTTAATACATATATAAATACACATGTGAGTTGATATAAATATATATATTAATATTGATATTAATTTCAATTATAATTCATTATTTAAAATTGGACAAAGGCAACGACCTTTCAACAAATTTAATTACTCTGTAGGATTTACCAAAATACCCTTTCATCTTGAAAAACAAAATTGTCCTTATCCATCATCTTCCTTAAATTGTGTTTTAAGTGTGTAACCCATAAACTCCTTACCATGTCGGTAGGGAATAGTATTGCAATTATATTCTATTAATTGTCTCACTACACACAGACTAAAATTGGCCTCTAGCAAGGCATCATGGCCACCCGACAAATACATATTCAGTGTAACAGTTACCTATTAACGATATGGTTATTGTGCAATTCAGTCCCTTCATCATCAATTATCTCATCAAGGTTTGAAGCACAAAAATAGTGTCAGCTTCAAGTATGAAATTCCTTGACATATTCGTATTCGGTTATCAAACCAACAACCAAATGAAATTGGATTCAAGCAACAACTCAATTCCACTATGGTCACAGATTTAAGGTCGTTGCCTTTTACCAAATATCTCACCGAGATAGTTTCTCCTATACTTTAGAGTGATGAATCATTTGTCGACCCACCATAGTCATAATGTACTTCTCAATGTAGCCAATCACTATCATACTAATTACCCTAGATAGGATTACATTTGGCTAACGTCAAACTACACCAATATTTACACATGGCGCTCTAGTAATCTCAAGTTTAAGGATCACGTACACCATCATCCATTAGAGGATGTATTCTATAGACACTGAGGTTACCATTTATATGAAATCCTCTATATAGGCCAATCCAATGAACTCATGAATAATAAGCACCCATGCGTCGCACCAAGTTGTCAATGAACAACATGGACATGCAAGATCTGTCACGACCTTTCGGTAGGGTCGTTCAATGTTATAATAATCTTACCGTATTATCTATACCCTAGGTCAGAATAATACTGGAGCTATGAACGTTTCTAGAATAGTTATCATATGTGTTCATAGGGATCTCACAATCAAGACTTATAACTGCTTGATTCACTCATCCTGATTTCACTATCCTAAGGACATATATTATTACACACATATGGCATACGATTTACATAATATAAATAATATCTTTTATTAATAGAATATCCATGATACATAGAGTCATATTACAAAAAGCTATTGACTCTAGGATACCTTCTCTAACATTATTATCCCATGTAATGTTACAGTTATGGTCTTTTACGATCAAAACCTATCCAAATCAACAAATCATTAATTGCCACACGCCGAGGGTGACTCTGCTAGTGTGAAGGATAGTCTTCCAATGACATTATAAATTATTTCTCCTATATTTGTAAGACCAGCTAAGTCAAAGTTATTATATTGAAAGCCTTTGCTAAACATACATTTAAAAAAACAATCTATTGATTAGCCTTTTACAATATAATTCTAAATAAGTTTCTATAATTTTAAACCATATTCTAGTATAAATGAGATTCAATTCAAAACCTTTATACACAATCTTAAAAATCCAGATCGACTAGAAAATGTGTCATTATTCTATTGCAATTACAAACAAATTTCCATGCCAACCACACACATATTGAGCCCTCGTTATCAAGTGTTCACCCAACTCTATCTTTCTTTTTCTCAGGAACTAGTCATAAACAGTCAGTCAAGCACCCACATTTTTCTTAGAAAGAGAAGCGGCGTACTCCTTCTTTTCTCT